GTGCAACAAACATTTGTATATATGTTTAATTGTTTTCAATATACTATTTTAAAACAAGTGGATTATGTGCTGTCCATTTATTGTTGAAATTTATCACCAACAAATCACAGACACCTACTGTAAAGAATCCTGCCAACACATATACAGAATAACCTGACAGTGTCAAGTGTCATCCACAAATGACTTCATCTCCATGCCTACAAACGTCAGTTGGTGCAGGCACTGCAACCAAATGACAAACTAAAGCACAAAACTTTTGTAGTGAACCTCCTTGACTGCATAGATGAAGACAACACATTTCTAGCTTGTGTACTGTTAAGCAATGAGACTAAAATTCATACCTTGGGTAAAATGAATCATCATATTGTACATATTTGGAGCTCGGATAATCCCCGTGACACCATTAAAATTATACTTGATAGCCAAAAGGTAAATGTGTGGTGCAGTCTCATGTGTGACGGGATTATTGTTACATTATTTTTTTGCTGAGAGCACTGTTAATAGGAACATGTACCTTGACAAGCTGAAACAATGTGTGGTCACACAACTGGAGGAAATGTAATAATAGATAATCTTTCAACAGGATTGTGCTCCACCCCATTGAAATGTGTTGATCAGATGCTTCCTAGGTCAGACATCTCTGAGGTCAGGGATTGGTCGGGGTGGGCCAATTCTTTTGCCTCTACGTTCGACAGATATTACTCCACTGGACTTCTTTATTTGGAGGTATGTTAAGGACATCATATATCGCACACGTATGGCAAACATCACGGAGCTAAAGACTGTAACTGTGGACGTGTTGCATCAAACGTGGAGTGAAATCGAATATCGATTAAAAGTTCTGGCAGCCACTAATGATGCACACGTAGAAGTCTACTGACACGTGAATAAAAACTGTTGGAGTTTGGCTACAAATTGTTGAAAGCTGCATGGTTGTATTTCTTTGGTTATTTAATTATTAAATTTTGAAATAGGAAGGATAGTTTTGGACCACCATGTATTATTATTAAGTTACCTCCATTTGTGGAGATGAAAAATTCCACAAACTAGAGCAAGCAAAACGAGGATTGCAGCAAGTACGCTAAGAACTATGGGAAGTATACTTCCTTCACCAAAACGAAGACTCATGGGATCTGTTTGTTCCACTGGATCTATTAGATAATATATCGAAGATAAACATATGATAAGATATGAGTAATAATTTCTGTATAAGATAATTTATTTCACAAACATTTTTTAGTCTACTCACATAATACACGTTTTATAATCACCATCATTTGATATATTCACAAGCTGGAAACATATTTTAAAGGTATAGTTCCATTTCAAAATTAGTCATCACATGTGTGACGAGCTATCATCCACTGTGAATTAAATATGTAAAATGTTCTGGAATAACAATCTAAGACTATTTATTACTGTCTAAAATATGTCTTAAAATATATTTTTTTCTATTGTGTTAATTAAAAGTGAGTTACAGTTCTCATTTTAACTTTCGACGTACTTAATTCAGCGTTTTCAATACATTTATGCTTTGAAATCTACAATAAAAATATCAATAAGTCAAGCGAGTTCTGAATCGTTATTTTTAAATATAAGGTCACTGTTTAGCTTGCTTGAATTCAGAAGATTCTTTTTATTCAACTAAATGCTCTTCACTAGTCAGCTCTTTCTTTTCCTTTCACATACCCTTTAGTTACAGTTATTTGCGAAATTTATTTCATGAATCTTTACTGAATTAATTCTAGGATGTTTTAAAATAAAACAGTTTGCTCAAGTTAAATATCGAGCATTTACTTTCCTTTAACTTCTGAATAGAAAGCACTAACAAACCTCTGTTAAGAGTTCTTATTAGCAACTGCATAGAAAGTTTTAGAACTCTGACTAATTCTTTACATATCATTCTCATAAAGGTTTACTAAAATCGGACTGATCATCAGATGTCTGAGTTGTGTAACAATAAACTGTGAGAAGTGAATGACGTTAATTTACAACTGTATTTCTTTTTTTTAACCTGGTCATAGATAATGATATTGGAACCTCACCACATGGCGACCGTGTATTTTGAGAATAGAATATAGTGTAGTTTCCATTACAAAAGGATCTGCTGTAAGATTGTCATGTCAAAAGTACCCACTAGTTGCCGCTTACATTCCATAATGTAATTAGTGTACGAGGACAACTGTTTCACAGCGACCATCCAATCGCACAGAAATACATAGGCGCAGCGTTTTCCAGCTACTTGATGCATGCAACGGTTGAATAGTTGTGTCGCTTTTCCAGATCTTTCTTGATTAAGTTGCGTACTGTTGCCTGGAAATTGTTGACGGCTTTCTCCACTCACCTCTGTGTTCGTGGATTCTAACCTGTTACGAAACGCCGAACTTTGCTTACCACGGCTGGAATACAACATGTTACAGGTCTCTTTCTGAATGGTCCTAGTACCCAACTTGATCCATATTTCTTTGTTTTCCAATGTCATTAAGTACAAGAGATATCTCCGTTTTGGAAATCCGAAATCCATGATCTAAACACATCTTTATAACCTGAATGCATGAATATTTTGCTTCGGAAAGGGCTGTTACATATCCTTTATAAAACGATCAGTTTTCTGTAATGTTACAGTATCTACAAACGCTAAACTATTTCAAAATGTAATTCAGATACAATACGTTCCACCACGACTTCATATCAATTGTGATTGTGACGTGCCTTGCTAACTTGTGCATTAAAAATTGTTTTAGTATAACTTACTCAACACCTCTATTTAGGATTATAATTTACAATTACCCTTTAACTGTTTTGTGCAGTGTAAATATCAGAAAATGCATTAGTGAAGTGTTTAAACAAGTTCCAATATTTAAGATCCAAACTTTATTTTAACGTGTGATATTTATTGATAATTTTCATCTTGTTCGTACATCGTTTTTCTTTCCAAATATAATTTGCTAATACTTTTAATAAAACAGGTCTATTATATTATGTTAGCAATACATATCTTTGTGTGTGTGTATATATATATATTACTTTGTAATTTATGATCTATACATAAATCATCTTAAGTTGCTTTTTGTATGTGTTTAAGATAGAAGAATGTATAGCTGCATATCAACTGTATTTAGTTTGATTTATGTCTCCGCTACCAGAGATTATGGGCCAGCAAGTTTACAACGCCCCGAGGTTTTGCTTGAAACGCTACATATAAAACTAACATTGGTTGAGAAAAGGTTTGTGTGTTTCATGTTTTAATTTACTAGTGAATAAATCTATTTCGCTCAAACTAAACACAAAAACTACAGAAAACTGGTAAACTCGTTGTAATGGAAAGAGAAATATGTCATCGAAGATTTCAACGTTGAAAGCGTCTGGATAAAGCTCATTTGGCCAAAACCCACGATCAAATATTTCTCTTTCCCTTATAGCAATTTTAACAATGCTTATTTTTTGAGATTTTATCACGATGTAGCTGCATTGATTTGTTATTTTGTGCAGTAAAACCAATAGAAATTTGGGACTATACTTGAATATTTTCATACATACTTTCCATACAACGTTTGAATGGATCTAGACTGAATACTTCAACTTTATAGCCATGACGACACTGACAGACCCGTTTTAAACTTCCACCTACTTCGACACAGTTGCTGTTGATGTCGAACGCTATACACTGCTCGTGGTAGTCACATATTCTTCCCAAGGGCACAACTAACGAACAAATAAAAACATAATTGCTTTTCGTTCACCCATTTCATGTTTCATTCAAACTAACTTCCATTGTTTAAATATATTGCACCATGGTGTAAGAAAATAAGAAAGTGTTTTAATTGGTATCTTAACTAAACCTTTAAAATTTCAAATCAAACAAAGAAATAAACCTTATTAACAAAGCGATAAAATAAAACTAACCCAATAATTACAAAAGAATCTTGTTAAGACCATGTAGAAATAACTAAATGGTTCTCAGACAAAAAAAAACATACACACATAAAAAATAATCACGGGGTCACAAAGCTTTTGTAGCCAGGCTATCAAGCAACTGGCTATGAGGGACATTTGAGGTACCGCTTCCACGTACCAGACAAACAATTATTTGACTTCATATGGTGTTATTGACATAGAAATATAGTCGATATTACAACAAATAATCTTTTTAAAGGTTAATGAAGCTTGTTTCCACTACACATAATATTTCATTACTAAAACTAAAGTGAAAGGAGATGGATAAATAAATGCCTGTAAAATCGACTTAAAAGAAGATAGATAAAGAGAAATGAGATGCATAGTTACCTAAAAGATTGGTTTGCGAATAGATAGGTAGATAGTTTAGTTACCTCAAATAGCCTTTTGCATTGAGATAGGTAGATATTTACATGGATTTTGTTTGTTTCAAGTTAAGCACAAAGCTACACAAAGGGCTATCTGTGCTCTGCCCACCATTGGTATCAAAACCCGGTTTCTAAAGGTATAACTCCGCAGACATACCACTGTGCCACTGGGGGCACGTAATTACCTAACTGACTGTTTTGCAAAAAGATTGGTAGATAGTTACGGGGGTAAATTGATTTCCAGAGAGATACATAGCTGTTTTCTATAATAATTATTATGTAGAATAATATATAGTTACCTGTAAGATTAATATATAAGTAGATAGAAAGTAAATTACCTGTAAGATTAATGTATAAGTAGAAAGAGAGTAAGTTACCTGTAAGATTAATGTATAAGTAGATAGATAATAAGTCACCGTTAAGATTAGTATATAAGTAGACAGAACGTTGGCTGTAAGATTAATTTACAAGTGGATAGACAGTAACTAACCTGTAAGATTAAATTTTGAGTAGACAGAAAGTAAGCTACTTGTAAGATTCATATCTAAGTAGGTATATAACAAATTACTTGTAGCATTAATATATAAGTAGATAAATATAAAGTTATCTGTAAAATTAATGATTAAGTACATAGAGAGTACGTTATGTGTATGATTAATATGTAAATAGATACAAAGCAAGTTACCTGTAGCATTAAAATTAGGAAAATTACTTTCAGGAAAAGAAGACTAATACATAGAATTCATTCCAGAACCCCAAAACTTCCAGGGTCCTAAGACGAGACCTGGACCTCGACCGTAATGGGTGAGCCTATGGTGAACATTCCCTCGCTATGCTCGGTCCTATAAACCTTGCCCCCCCCCACACACACACTTTTAATTTGTCTCCTGCATCTCTAAGTAAATAAAGAGTAAGTCGCTTATAAGGATTTGAGAACTAGTTACTTGTAAGATTGATATACAGGAAGAAAGCTAACCAATAACATAGAAAATCAGTGTAATATAAATAAACTGCAAACATACTATTTACACATAATGTTTTCTCGACCGTTGCCACCTCAATCGTTCCATCTCCACAAACACATGTATCTGTATCAGGATCGCACCTAGCTTCTCCTTCCATAAAGGAACAGCCTGAGATGCTCGAACAGTGGTGTTTGACATCATCACCTAGAGTACAAAATAAGCACAATGATTACGTTTCATTAGACGGGTGTATATTGGTTTAGTAAATACAACAGTAATGTCTCTGAAAAGTCTAGGCTAAACGTAATATACAAGCATTAAACATTTAATGCACAGAAGGTGGACTTCTCGCACAATTACTACATGAGTGTAACTAACTGTTGTACCAAATTAAATTCAAAAATAGGAAGTACACGAAAATAAAAATATCACTCGTAACTGAGTAACAAAAGTGAAATTATACACATGTATTCTTCCATAGAAATTTTATCCTGCATATTTGCTAACGCATTTAAACTTGATTCGAGCTTAGTATAATTTTTATCTAATATTGTAGTGTTGCCTCCCGTAAATCAACTTTTTGGAAGCTTTTCTAGGAGGGCTTCAAAACTTAACAGTCTATCAGTTGAACTAGAGATAAAAATAATTTCTTGATAATTTTTTGAACATCCATTATTTTAGAAGCGTATTACAAGTATCCATCCATTTGTTTAAGTTTCTGTTCTTATGAAAACAATTCTTGTATCCCTGCTATGTTTAGTGGTAATGTTGTTGGTAGTTTTGTGTTTGTTTGTTTTTTGACTTTCGTAGCAAACTTTTTAAATTTCCAGAATTGACAAAAGTCGAGTTATAAGAATAAATGGAAAAGTGTCTAGTTTGTTTGTCTCTTACGAATTATTTCAAAGATTGAGAAAAATCGTTAATCACACAAGTCCAGTTGCTCAATGTAAAATATTCTTTTGTTTTTTGAAGTAGTAGGCATATATTTTACATCCAAATTATAGTTACGGACAACACTGCTTTGGACAGATTAAACCTATACATATCCGATAAGAATCTACTAAAGCCTGAGATTAATATTCTAGTTTTAAAAGTGGTGATAGTGTGACATTGATGTAGAGTACAATCTCTTCAAATCTCTGATCCTGCGCATTCAGAATTGTAATTATCATAAAAGTGTAAGACTAATAATTACGGCCTACATTTGTAAGCCGTACAATTAGATGACGTTCAGTCACAGATAATGTAATGGCGTATATTTATACTACTCTATTATTCAGTTTATAATGGTATATTCAGTATTACTGAAACCTCAATAAATATGTCATGTTGATACTAAATAAATACAAAGTTATATTGTGCAGCAAAAATATTTATTTTGGCCCCATCTTTTAGTCTGATAGGCAGTCTTCGACAGCATGTAAAGCTATTACAGAAACAACGTATAACTCATTGTGTGTGTGAGTAATTTATATGCAAGGTAGGGTATTTAAATATTATGTGCTTTGCGTTAAATAAAATTAATTCCATCTCTTAGTTATTGTACATCGAAAAATATTTTTGTTTACTTGATTACCAAGAAGTTTTTTTTAGTTTCTCTCATCATTACTGACGAAGGAAATATACGTCCTGGTGTGGAAAACAGGTACACACAGTTAAACATATACTCCAATCGGAAGCGGCCCTCGCTGTTGCTGGTCTTTAACAAAGTATATGCAAAGTACATAGTCTAAACAAGTTGAAAACATCACATTACAGTAAAATAATAATAATAACACCATGCAATAACAATTTCTAGACAACTATAACACTTTATTTCTAAGCTCTGTTTTCTCGAAGGTTAGGCCCGGCATGGCCAGGTGGTTAGGACCCCCGACTCGCAGTCTGCGGGTCGCGGGTTCGAATCTCCGTCACACCAAACGTGCTCGCCCTTTCAGCCGCGGGGGCGTTATAATGGATCGGTCAATCCCACTATTCGTTGGTAAAAGAGTAGCC